GCCCCCATGTTCTCCTCTGTGGAGTGAGCACAATGCCCCTCTTCACTACTTTTCACCTTTTGAGTTAGGTGGTCTGCATCTGGCCTGGCATCCCTCAGACGAACGAGTTTGGAGTTTTAGAAGCCCCAGCTGGGAGTTCACTTTCTGCCCAATGTGGCCCTTGGCAGAACACCTGTGGCTTGATGTCACTTGGAGAGCTATGTCTCTCACACACTCCTTGTAGGCCTAAGGCTGGAAGATGCTGCACAGGGTCAGCTCAGACTCTTACTCAAGTTGACTCCCTTGAAGCAGACCTGATGGAGTCAGAATGTCCCTTTAATATGCCCACAAGAATGCCGAGAGTCACCTGGTATGGAGAACCTGAACCACTCCACCCATTCCAGAAACTGCTAGAGACATGTGTTTACTTTCAGTTAACTCTAGTGCATGTTCCTTGCCTCAGATGACAAGTCACCAGCCACTTGGTCTACTTTCATAGTAGTTCATGAAGTCTATTATGTCCAGATCTGAGCAAGGCTGTGGATACTGAGCAGACAAAGCAGGTCCTGCAGCCACAGTACTTACATCCCTGCTACTAGCCACTGCCTGGTAGAAGGCTAGGAGGGACATACTTGTGAGCTACTAACAGCTGGGGGATGTTAGCTCTGCCCTCCAAGGCCAGGCAGGAATGGTACACTGAGTAACAGGCCCTATGCATCAGTGTCACAGGGTAAAGGCCTCAATGGAAGGAAGAGCAAAACCAGGTTATTTGGAGCCAGCGTGAGCTCTGAGCTGGGTATGGACCAGAGCAGCCCACATGCAGAGCCACTGGCCCTCGTCCCCATAGTATTTGCAGAATTACACCTGGATATCTTTGCCAAAAAAAGGAAGTGTAAGTGACTGGGTAGCCAGTGAGCTGGCCCTAACTCCAGAGCCACCCCTGGGAAATGCTTGTGTATCTTCCACTGCACATACACTCACCCTGGGATCCTAGCAACCAGACCTCCTCATACACACATACCACCCCTTCCCCAGCTGGCTTTCACAACTCCCCACAGGGGAATGAATGCCCTCTATCCAAGCACACTCCTTTAATTTTCAGGTGCTCTGATGGAATGTCATCCTGTACTTTCAGCCTCATGCCTGACTTCTGGGCCATACCCATCATCTCCCAGTAGGGGCCTTCCCTAAAGGTTTTGAGGTGAGGGGGTGATGGACCTTGGGTAGCCTAGTGTCTCCTTCCCAGATCTGTCCCCCTTCTCAGTTCCCAGAGCTAGGCTGGGCTGTGAGCAGGGCAGGCAGGATGCTGCCGTCTGAGGAATAATGCTTCATGCCAGCTCCCTCAGGCCACTTCTCCCCAGGCCCATCTAGGGAGTGGGTTTGCTGCCCAGGCCAAGACCTCTATATCTGTGTCCAGCCTGTAGAGGAGCAATTGTACACCACCCTAGAACAAACACGATTTATAGGCTTCTAACCCAGATAGACCAATGTGGGGACCCACATGTCTGGAGTCCCGAGGTTCCCTACGCCACTATTCTAGAAGTATGTACTTTTACCAGCCAGTGTGCTGGGATTGTGAGACTCAAGCCAGATGTCACAGTCCGTCCCTAGGAGTTCCTAGGCTGCCTAGTGGTCATTGGCAGTAACTAGTTTCTGGATCTGTAGTAGCAGGTACCCACAAAGGCCACCTTTCCCACACCTATGGCCCTGCTCACAGGTGACAGCACTGGGGACAGATGCCCCAGTATATTCCAGGGGTGACTGACCCAGTGACCTTCAGGTCCTCCAGAAACACCCACTAAGCACTTGCCAGGAGATAGGCCCTGGCTTAGAGAAGGCAGGCACTGACTCATGAGCACAGGGCCTCTGGGAACCCAGACCACTGCACAGCCAAGGAGCTTGCCCGTGGTGGAGCTTCGGGGGCTTGGTTCCAGGGAGCAGGTGGGAAGGCACAGTGAGAAGAACCAAGGCCTAGGTGACAAACTGCCAGAGACCCATACACGGGGCAGCAAGTGCTAGGTGCTGTGAAGAGGCAAGATTCATGGGTACCAGGACTTGGGGTCATAGCATGAGCTTTGACCCATGCCATGGTCCCTCAGTTCCCCCTCTACCCATCCTTGCTGGTTCCTCCTGTTTCCCTTTCTGATCATTGGGGACCCCAGAGGACCCATTTCTATTTAGTCTCCAGAGATGACATAAGCCTGTCTCCAGCCATCAAGTACCAACTCCCTAAGTTGGTCACTTAACACATAGGCCTTACTTCTTTATTGCCTATGTAGGTTACTCACAAGCAGTGCTCCCTGATGCCTGCCGGGTCCCACCCTTACAGGCCAGTTTTGCTTAGCAGATAGATGTCACCAAAATGGCATCAGGAAACTAACTTTTCAGGCCCCAGCTGCTAAGGACTGGGGTTTCACAGGACTTGGGAATGGCAGGAAAAAGCCCAGCATAGGACAGAATGGATCTCTCTTCCTTTCAGTACACAACCCCCAGCCTGGTTGTGTCCAACCTCTGGGCCTAACGCCAAGCCCACAGTGAGCCCAGGGCTGGGAGAGGAGGGCCCAGTTCCCTCCACCCCTCCCTTTCCCTGCTGAGCCCATAGCCAAACCCTGGGGAGCGACAGGCATCTGGAGATCAGGTAGCTTAGCTTCAAGAGTCTGGCTCAAAACAGCTCCCTTCCCCCAGCCTGCTGGGGTCTAGAGCCTACAGTAGCTCTTCTGTCCCACAGACAGGTCTAGGCCAGGTCTTCAGACACAGCCAGCCTTTACTCAGGCTCTCTGGCAGCAGCTCTCAGGAAAAAGGAAGCCAGGGTGTGCGTCTCTATCCAGCCAGGCCAGCTAAGTGCCTATGCAGGGTGAGGACCTGCAGGGAAGCAGAGGCTGCTCTGGGGCCACAAACCGCTGATGCCCAACCCTGCCTAAGCAAGTTCTTCTGTCCTCTGGGAGCTTCATGCTGCTCAGGGCAGTGCTCTGGCCTAGCCCTAATGTCTTGGTTAAGCCTGAGCAAGGTAATGACAAAAGTCAGGTGAAGGGAGACCATGCTCTGGGTAGCCATCTGTGCTGGGAAGGCAACTTGTAGGGGATGTTGTGGGGCCCAGGCCGTGGGGTGTGGGAAAGGCGGCAGTGCTCACCTACCTCAGCAGACCTGGGGATGCCTTACCCAATCAGCTCCTGTCTGGAAGCACAAATGACTAGACCGAACAACAAACACTTCTTCACAGTGTGGGTGCCACAGCCTGCATCACCCACTGGTCCAAAGGATGCTTGCCCAACAGTCAGAAGTGTGAGGAAAGCCTAGGGCAGCACCTAGAAGATCCCAGCTCCTCCCTGTCACACCACCCTTCCAATGGTGAGCTGGTAGAGCCACTAATGAGCACACACAGGCATTCCCCACCAGGCATTGTTGTTAGTGCCTAGATGAAGAAACTGAGGTCACAAACTAACCTGTCCATGTCCCAAGTAGTGACAACAGCAAGACCCCACCTGCAGAATCACAGTCAGTACTAAGATCAGTGGAAGGGCAGAGAGCACTTTGTTGCGGTATTGGCTATCCCCGCCCCCACCCCTCGGGCCTGCCTGGAGGACATACATCCCCAGGACTTCAGCTGTACTCTGTGAACACTGACAACCAGCGTCACCCCTCTCTGCAGCTACAGGTCAGTCTGGGTCATTCCAGAAATCCTCCACCTGGCCCACCCAATCCTTGCCTCTTCCACCCCTATCCCTGCCTGGGGGAAAAAAAAAAAGGTATTGGGTGGGGGAGAATCAACCTTCCAATAGCCAAGCACCCACACACCCTCCTACCACCCCAACAATCCCCACACATCACGTACTTTGGGCATGGAAGTTGTTAACAAAACAAACATCCAAGGGTTTGAGGTGACTGGCACCCACCTGCCCCCCCCCCATTGTATTCAGCACTGAACTCAGGCTCAGGAAAAGGCAACAGTACAGGCTCCCTCCTGCTCAGTATCATCAGCTCCTACCCGGGTCCCCAAACATGTCAGGAAGGGCTGCGGAAAAAAGATGTCCCTTTAATAAAACGTTATCAACATATATCGTACACAAACTACAATGTATCATAATTACTTTTTTTTTTCCTCTCATAATTCAGAACCAGACTACAAGGTAAGAAAAAACACAGAAACAGCTACAATGTTCCCAAGAATCCGCACAAGGTCTTTTTTCAGGCAGATGGTATCTCACATAATATGATATACATGGGTCAGAAAGGGGAGGTAAGAAAACAAAGACCAGCTACAAGGGTGGGCGGCACAAGGAGGGTGTAAATGTACAAAGAATCCAGTGTCTTCAGGGCAAGACACAAAGGCTGCCACGGGGGAGGCCAGGGCAGTCAAGTCACCCCTCCTGGGAGGGGACAGCTCCACCATCAGGTTGTGGGTTTTTGAAAATAAAAACTGGAAACAGTGTCTGTTTGGTTGCTGGTGCTCCCCCACCCCCACAGCAATACCGAAGTCTGTCCATCCAGTTCCAAGCAAATACAGAGCGATTCTAACCAATACCCATCTTTGAAAAAGGACAAACAGGAGAGAAAAAAAAAAAAAAAAAAAAAAAAGAAAGAAAACCACTTCAGCCCGCCCTGCCCATGTGCACTATGTGAGGATCTGGGAACCAGAACGTGGAGGTCACTTCCATGTCTCAGATCGCAGCCATCCTGTTGGTGGGGCCTCTCCTACCCAGCCAGCAGGAGTCTTGCCAGGAGACGGTGCGGACCGAGGGGCTGGAGGCCCCAGCGGCTGGGCACGAGGTCTGGAGAGGCAGCTATCCTGGAACAGTGTGTATGCTGGGTCACAGCGATGGTCTCTGTTAGGCGACAGCAGGTTGGGGGCTCTGGGCTCTCTGGCCAGAGGATGAGGACTGGGGTGTCGGTGTGTTTTGACGGCCAGCCAGAACAAAGCAGACACCTGCTTCTCCTCACCCAGTGCAAAACCCCAAAGGCCCATGTGGGAATGGTTGACTTCTGTTCCTTTTCCCCAAACAGTTTTTGAAAGAAACCACCGATTGTAAACTGTCCAGTTTATTGTTATTATTATTTTTAGATGGCTACAACGTCAGCGTGACATGGCACACCCAGGCTAGCTTTCCTGGTGCCAGGACTTGGGGACAGACAGCAGGGTTTGTGGGTTTCTTCCTTTTTTTGTTTTTTGTCTTTCCTTTCCTTTTCTTTTCTTTTCTTTTTTTTTTTTTTTTTTGTTTTCTTTTCTTTTTTTTTAAAGAAGAAAGCAAAGAGGTTGAGTGGGGTGGGGTGTAGGGCTTGCTAGAAGCTTCCATTAAAAAAATTTCCCCCAAAAGAAATCCCCCCAAAAAAACAAATTAAAAACCCCAGCAACGGTAAAATCCCAAACAAACAAACAAACAAAAACAACAAAAAGTGTCATGTACAGAAAGGTCCTTTAGGGGGAGGGGAGGGTGGGATTTTTCTGATTGTTGACTTGAAATACATCTTTTGAGTTTTGTCCTTCATGTTTTACGGAATAAAAGTTTGGCCTTTTTATTGCATGAAACTAAAATTGGGAAAGGTGGGGAGTGGGTGAGAGGGGTGGGTGGGGCAGGAGACCCCTCCCCCCGCTCCTGGCATCGACACCTCACTTCTTCTTGCATAATCTCTGGCATCTTCTGCCTGCAATGCCGGCTCTCAGCGTCTTGGGGGGGGGGTCACACACTCATCGTCATGCTTGGAGAATACTGCAGGGGAGAAGCAGGGTTGGGGATGGCTGTCAGGTATAGAGGAAAGGCCATGGACAAGGAGGCAGGAGCTAGGTGACACCTCTGGGAACTGGCAGCACAAATGGCCCTACTTCTTATCCCTTTGAAGTCAGCTCTTTGGGGACCAAGACAGCAGGAGACTAGGGTGTAGTGAGTCCAGGTTCCTGCAGGGTGCTGTGGCTGGCCCCAATCTGGGGGCTCTCAAAAGCTGTTCTCACCAATGAGTATGGGCATAGAAGGCCACCTGGTCCCTTGGCACCGAGGGCCCAGGAAATCTCTGGTTGAATGATCCCATGGGGCAGTGCTGCCTAACCAACTCAGCTCAGGGCTTTCCCAGCCAGTTGTGCTTGTGAATGCCCAATGTTTCAGCCTTCATAGTGCTCCTGGGAGGACCAGGCAGCAGGACACAAGCAAGTGGGTGGAAAATAACCAGGTGGAGAGCAGGGCAATGAGCAGGCACTTACAGGGCCCCTGGCCTAAGGGAGCCATCAGGACCCAAGCATCAGAAGTCAGGGCTTGGGGACTTACATTGTCGTTCTGGAAGGAGTGGAGGAAGTTCCCTCCTAGCTCGCCATCATCACGAGGGGTGCCTGGAGGGTTGCTAATGCCACTTATGTTGTTAGGAGAGTTCTGTGGAAAGAGAGAGGAGGTGAATCTATGTCCCCAACAACCTGACCTAACAGACAGGGTGATACTGAGGGAGGGAACATCAAGTGTCACTCACTTTTGGAAGTCCATCTATGTCTCCTGATCCTAAAAGGGAAAAAGAGTCAAGTCAGGGCCTTCCTTCCTTCCTTCCTTCCTTCCTTCCTTCCTTCCTTCCTTCCTTCCTTCCTCTCTTTTTTTTGGGGGGGGTGCCGAGCATATGTAGATACTGTGTTAACGTATATGTGTGTACGCAAGTGCACATTGGGGGAGGTCAGAGATCACCACCAGGTGCTTTCCACCTCCCTTTTTGAGACAAATTCTCTCTCTGAACCTGGATTTAGCTAGCTGATTCAACTACAGCTGGCCGGCAGCAAGCCTTGGGGATCCTTCTGTCTCCGCCTCCTCAGTACTGGCATTAAAAGTATACACCACTGTGTCTGGCTTTTACATGGTGCCGATGATCAAACTCAAGTCCTCATGCTTGCCAAACAAACACTACTGACTAAGCCATTTCCTCAGCCACATTTGCTCTTGAGGCAGGACCTTACCATGTGGCTAGGCATGTCATGAGTTCACCATGCTCCATCTCAGTATCCCGAGTGCTGGGATAAAAGACATGCACCACTATGCCCAGCGCTATCTTCCTCAGGTTTCAAGCATCCTCCAGTCAGTGCTTAGTACAGGACTATACCTGTATGCAGTACATTTTTCTTTACTCTCAAATAGGGTCTTACTGTGTGTGACCCAAGCTAGCCTGAGTGCCACACTACAGTAGGTATTGTCACCATGGCTGGCCCGATTCAGTTGCTGGATAGCTCTCCTGTGGGGTTCTCCATTCTCGGAGAAGGACCCTTTCCTTTGTGGAACCGTGAATGTGGGTTCACATTATTTCTATGTAGAGAATCCTCGGTCTAGACAGCAGGACCTTCCTAGGTGCCTAGTCACGGCCAACACTGTCCCGGGTGACCCAGGAGCAGAGGCAGAGTGCAGTGTGCACAGGTGCTGGCTTACCTAAGGACCCATTCATGTGATGTGGCTCCATGCCGCCCATGCCTCCCATTGGGCCGTCTGAGCCAGGACCCATTGGAAACTGTGAGGTAAGCAAAGCATGGTTAGGGGACCCAAGCCCTTTGCATCTACCTGTCCCACCTCCCAAACACCCCAAAGACTCAGGCCCTGGGCCCCAACTGCTTAGAAATGATACCCAGCATGCTCCAGGTGGGTCTCCTTGTGCAGACTTAGGCACTGGGTACCCAGGTGCCTGGTCCTGGGGATTGCCCAGTGGAAAGGTCTCCTTCTATGTACGAGTCTAAATGAGCAAACTTGGGGGGGGGGGGACCAGACCAAAGCTACCAAGTTTCACGCACAGCCAGTCCGGCAATTTCCTGAGCCTCCTCACAGTGCTTGATCCATTCCTGGGTAGGTTCCTGGCTCACTAGCCATCACTGTACAGGAATGTATCTTGACTACATGGACCAGAACAAATGACACAAACTTGTCGCCCGCATTTTACAGGTGAGAAAACTGAAGTCGAGCATGGGAAGTGAATCGTATAATCTCCTGGAGCAGAGGTGAAGCAGAGGGTAGAGCAGGGTAGCCTATTATGGGACTAACCCTCAGACGCTGGAAATGTCAGGGGCAGAGGTGAAGACTCTACTCCACTCCATCTGGTCTGCAACTCTCAACACCTCAGGAAGGAAGGAACACAAGGCCACACATTTCATGGTCTTGAGCTACCACTGAGTATAGCCTGGACAACCAGTGCTTGAGACTTATTCCTCACCAGAACTCAAGGTCAGATGTGGGTATTCCTTCTTGTCACACTTGCTTTTACATGGTTCTCACTATATGGCCCTGGCTAATCTCAAATTTGCTGTTGTCTAGGTGCACCTAGAACACATGGCAATCCTCCTGCCTCTGCTGCTTGAATGCTAGGATTACAGGTGTGAGCCACCATACCAACTTGTCTCATCTTAAAAACTGTGAGTTGTGGGGTATTCTTGTCTGTTGTCTTTGGTTCTGTTTTTTTTTTTTTTTTTTTTTTTTTTTTTTTTTTTGAGATAGGGTTTCTCTGTGTAGCTGTGGGTATCCTAGAACTTGCTTTGTAGACCCAGGCAACCTCAAATTCAGGGATCTGCATGTCCATCTCCTGAGTGCTGGGATTAAAGACATACACTGCCACCATACCCAGCAATAATACTGGTGTGATTTTGTCCCACCCCCCCTCAAAAAAAACAACATAGTTCCTCTGTATAGCCCTAGCTGTCTTGGAACTTGCTCTATAGACCAGGCTGGCCTCAAACTCAAGGAATCCACCTGCCTCTGCTGGGCTTAAAGACGTGGGCCACAACTGCCTGGCAGAAGTATTGAGTTTTTGAAGCCAACGTTTAACAACTTTTTTGTGGTTGCCAGCAATGACTATCACTTTACAGCTACACAACAGAGGTATTCTTTTGTTGTTGTTTTTTTGGGGGAAGGGTGGCAGGAGAGGGTTGAAACAGGATTTCTCTGTGTAGTCCAGGCTGGCTTCAAAGTCAGAGATCCACCTGCCTCTCCATCCTGAGTGCTAGGCTTAAAGGCATTTATCACCACACCTGGCTAGTATTCTCTATTTCTATGAAGTAAGATTTGCATAAAGTTCTTCTGTGAAGTGAAAAGTAACCTAAACTTTCATCATGAAGGCCGTTGTCACAGAAGTGGTGGCACAAGGGGTGTGAGATGCTTTCGCTCCACTGGTGAGAGGCTTCAGATGAATTTGCCAAGAGTGATATTAAAACTGTTTGCTGAACATGCAGATCAATGAGCAAACTTGAGCTGGATTTAATAAGAACAGTTCTGCTTTCTGCAATTTCATTAAAAGCCTCATGGAAATCAAGATAACACAGAATTCCAGTTCTTAAATCAAAGGACCTAGCAGGAAATTGTTTCTTGTTTTCTTTTCTTGGGTGGTGTTGGGGGTCGAACCTAGGGTCTCCTGCATTTGAGGCACATGCTCTAGGCCTGAGCTGCACACTCAGGATGCAGCTCTTGTGTTTTACAGTGTCACTGGTATACTGCCGAGAACACAGCTCTGCCCAAGGGGCTGGGACAACGTCTGTTGTCAAAATCCCTTCCCTTCAACTCACACATAGGACTGTCTGATGCAACCACTAGATCTAGAACACAACTGCCTTAGTTACGTGCAATCAGGGAATGCAATGATGCCATGCTCACATTAATATATGCTCACAGTCAACTCAGAGGTCACTTTCTGACTGGACACCAATACCACTTTGAAGAAAAAAAAAAAGCTTTTGGTTCAGAAGGGTGTGCTAGTAGCTACACCTTCTCTGACCAGCCCTAAGTACCTGTCTACACACAATGCAATAATGTTTGTAAGTGCCCTCATCCAGCTGTGTGCCTTTCTACTTGTCAGAAACATAAGGGTCATCAAGCTTTCTCTTTGGAGCTGTCTGGGTCACACTGGAGCTGGCACCATCGCAGTTCATAGATTCAACAACCTCAACTCAAGCACATGGTCACAGTATTAATGTTAAATGCAAATCCAGTACCACCTTGATGCAAACTTGGGTAGAAACTGCAGCAGCCCTGATGTCACAGCCCTTAGGCTAACACAGCTTGAGTGATGCCCACCAGCATCCACGGTCTGGGAAAATACCATGATGGTGACAATAGATAACAGATGATCTAAGCCATGCACGTGCTCCACCCCATGCAGCGGGCCTCTGTATAGGTTTGGTACTCTTTCCACTCAACTGTCTACACACACTACTACAAAACAGGGCTTGTGCCTGAGGTACCTCAGGATATAGAGTTTTTAGTGTTAAAATCTGGATGAAATGATTAGTGGGTGGGTGGGAGTACTGTATAATAGTTTTCCATATTTATTCAGCACATGGCCCTGGCCGGGGAGATGGAATGCATTTACTACCTAGTGCTAGTGGTGGAGCTCAGGAGGAGGGCATGTGCTTGCCCTGCACAAGGGCCTGGACTCGTTCCTCATCAACAAACGCAGACAAACGTGTGCCATATTCAGTGCAGGGTAGCCCACATGTGGGATCTGACACCTGAGCTGATTCTTGTATTAGGAACTGGGCCCACAAAACCAGAGGGTCCCACGGTCACCTCCTCCAAGCCCCAGGACCAACACTAGACCGGATCGTCTCCTCCTTCCAGAGGCAAGTGGGATGATGGACTGTACAGCAGCCAGGCAGGAGTTGCATAGGGAAGTCTCCTAGAGTGTGCTTAAGGGACTTGGCACTGGGGACAGACAGATGAGAACCGGGGCAGGTGGATTTCCAGATGAGAGGACAACTGGAGTAGAGGTAAACAGCTGCCACACTGGCACTGGCATGGGTTAGGCAGCTTCCCAAAGGCACATCTGAGGTCCCACCCTTAGCTATAATGCTTAGGAAACAGAAAAGACCTCCCTAAGGTGGCACAGCCAGTCACAAGAATGGGGATTAAGTCAGAGCGCCCTGCAGCCTTGCCAGCACCCTCATACCTGACCAGGAAGGTGAGCCCCGCCCTTCCCACCTCCACTATCGATAAGATGGGGACTGACTTGCCCAAGAGGCAATCACTTTCCTGATGGTTTATTTTATCCATCTTTGGTAACAAATGGCTGAAATCAATTACACTTGCTTTCCCCTCAGCTGATGAAGTTAATTATGATTTGTTATGGTAGCTGGTATGTAAATGAGTAGAAAAGCAGACTCACGTTGGACCGGCTGCCTCCAGGCGGCACAGGATTAATCATTGTGTAGATGTTGTCACTGGAATTTGTTGAATCTGTAGAATAGTGGAAACCGTACAGTTGAGGTGATTAATTTATTTCTTAATTAAAACAAACTCGTGGCACTTGAACTCATTCTTTTGTATTTTATCACCTAAAATTTCTTCTAAGTATCACCATCTTCTGGGTAATTTGTATTTAATGAAGATTCACAAAGTTTTTAATCACAGAAAATTCAACTGTGAAAACCACTCAGCCACAAACCCAGGAATTTCAGGGTATCTGGGAGGCAGGGCAGGTACAGCGCAGGGGACTTCAGATCTGTTCCACAGGCTTAGCAAGGACACAAGGACACACCTGTGCTGCCTCTCAGCCCCACCCAGGGAAAGAAAATGCACCAAGTTACCCAGAACCACTGTGCTAGGCTGAGGGGGTAGGAGGGAGACAGGGCTGGGGCTGGGGATGTATTAACATATGGAGTGGGTTACTGTGACCCAGTCTGAATGTAGGTCATGCTGCTCATCAATGCTGCAGAGGGGGAGCTGGAGCGGGAGCCGGTGTGGCTGCAGCCAGCTCCACCCCTGCAGCTGAGCAGCTTTCCTTTATAGGGAGCTGGAAGAGGAGGCTCCGGCCACTCCCCACCTACCCAGGAAAGTCTTCTCAGTTAACAGTGTTCTCTCAGGAGCAGAAATGTGCCCTCTATTTTGGGCTGGGTAGGGGATGCGTGCCGCACTCCTTCCGGCTGACTGCAATGCTATTCTTAGCGAGTAGACAGATAATTGTGACATTGTGTGTATGTGCATGTGTGCATCTGCCCTCAAGTACACGCATGTCCTCTCCAGATAAAGAAAACGGAAAGGAGATGAAAGGAGATCTCTTACACACAGGACCAGAAGCCCAGAGATCTGGAACCTCAGGGGGAGTGTGGGAGAGAGTCTGTGTGTGTGTGTGTGTGTACACACGCGTGTGCACACATACACACACACACACCTCTGGATCCCACGTTGCCAGGGCCCCAGAGGCCCTGAGTCACCCAGGGCAAAGAGCCTTGTTCTTTACCAAGGAGTGTAAGGAGCACAAGATGGGTCACCTGACTGAGGCTACACAATGAGTTAGTGATGTCAAGGGCTCACAGCCCTTGAATCCCTAGGTGTCAGTGGCTGGCAGAGGATGTACTGCTCAGGAAGCAGTGGCTGAAAAGACCCACAGGGCCACACAGCACCCCACTCCCACCTATCTACCCCCCCCAAGCCCTCTTACCCGCAGGACTAGGCATGATGGGGGTTCCTGGAGGGCCGCCACCACCAGGGGGTCCCTGAGATAAGATAAAAGCTGTCATCAGTAACCTGTGGTGGTAAGAGGCTTGGGGAGGCCTCCATGCTACTTGCCAGTGCCTGGATAAGCCTGGCTCCTTCTGGTGCTGAGCATCTCTTGCACTCAGACCTGGAGCCCACAAGCCTGAAGGAAGCTGGACTTACACTCTCCCTCTCAAGCCAAGAGGCATCAGAGGTGGGTGTGCACACCTACTAGTGACAGCCAGATGCACTAATGGGAATACACAGCCTGCTGGGTAGCTACTCAGAAGGAAAACCTTCTGGGTCATGTTTGGAGCCACTCCAGGCATGTACAAATACCTAAATACTGACAGCAAAAGCCTTGGCAATTTGCATATCGGGCTCAGAGGTATTCTCACACGGAACATAATAGACCCCGAGTGGCTCTCCTGTCAGGCAGTTGGTCATCTGAACTAGATAGTCAAAATCCATAGCTGCACTTACCACATAGGTACCAGGTGATGAGGAGGAGTACGGGATCTGGAAAGAAGATTTAGGAGCCATGTATTGGAACTGCCTTCCCTGGCAGACAAGTACTGTGCCCTTTCATTTCCAAATCCACTCTTATGAGAGGCTTGGGACCCAGTGAATTAGTGACCCAGACAGTTTCCGGAGGAGGCTGGGGACATGACTGAAACCACAATGCAGTGGTCCTGGGGATTGTCTTCCCAGTCTTTAGTGGAACCTGAGGATAGGGTCCCAGAAGGCCTTCCATTTGGGATGGTGGAAGAGAGCAACACCCACACGCACCTTCACCCCTTCTTCCCAGCTTGTCTGCACTGGGCCCCTCAATGCTAGACACCCAAACCCTGTACTCTGAACACATGATGCACCTGGAGTCTGGGCTCTCGGCTGGTACCCATGAGCTTCTGCAGGGCAGGACCGCCTTAGAGGACCCCGCACACTGCCCATGGGCTCCACCCGCATGGGCCTCCTTCTCAGAGGCATCAGGTAGAACCCTACTGTAGTTCTCCCTCCCGCCACCTCTTCCTGGGGACAGGAGTTGCCCTGTGCCCAGATTCTCTTCCCTGGAAAATGCCGTCCCGCCAGACCTGGATACTCACTGAGTTAGCACTGTTGGGATTGGGCCAGGGTCTGCCAGCTCCTGGGCCCCTGGAGAAGGAGAGACGGGGACAATGAAAGCGGAGCTATAGACTCGCAGCAGGGGCAGAGAAGCTCAAGTCCTAGAGGCCATCTGACTCTGGGGTAGTGAGGGCTCGTTCCCTGGGTGGAGACTTAACGTGCTCCTTCAAACTTACGTAATATTTGTAAATTATAAAATATTTATAAAATGATTCATAAAAGTCTTTCTGCTTTTCCCTAGGAAGATAGGCCACAGATTCTCATACAATCACTAGAGATCAGCCATTGAAGCTGTGCAAGCCTGAGAAGGTCACTCTACCTCTCTGTGCCTCAGTGACATCACAGGCAGGGAATAACCACCCTTTGTAGGCGTAGCCTGAAGATAATGAGTGTGTCCAACACTGTGCCTGGCACACAGCCCTGTGTGGAAACTGAGGTCCAGAGAGGCACCAGTGACTCTTATGAGTCCTCTGGGGCTCCAACAGTGGGTGGGGAGGCCACAGGCTCTGAAGCAGTGGCCAGGGCCTTTTGTGCCTTACATGTTAATCCCAGGCATGGCGGGGCCGAGGGAGTTGGGTGGTGGTCTCATGCCGCTGCCGTAATTCTGCAACGATAACCAAGGGTCAGTCTATGAGAAGGAGAAGGGGAACCGGGGAGGGGAGACAAACACAGAATATAAGTGAGAGGGTTAGTTTGTGAAGACAACCTGATGAGGAAAAAAAATCATACATTCTTTCAGAAAGGATGGGGACCAAGTGACAGGGACCACAATGACAAGAAGCCAGCACAGAGGGACAGTCACAACAGTCAATGCATTTTCAGGGGCTTCAACATGATATTCCCTAAAAAATGTTTGTTCAACAAGCTGCTGTTAGCCCCTTCCCACAGGCCTCAGTAGTTAGAAGGGCTGACTCGGCCACCAGTTTCAACTTTGGTGACAGGGGTCACATGCATAGTCTAAGGGCCCCAGCCTACCATCCCACTGACCTCAGGATGCTCAGCACCCTCCCTACCAGCCACACGACCATCCCTCCCATACTGCTGGACTTGAAGGTCCTTTTTACATCAGGACAGTGTCCTCGTGGCTATACCCCAAGCCTACACCCCAAGGTGTTTAATGAACAACACAGACACCATCAGGGAAGAGAATGGCACCAACTGCAGGCTTGGGCACTGCCCACCGGGCATCTGAGGAAGCAACGGGACCGCTAGTGTGAGCTGCGTAATGCTATGCACACACTACTCTTTTCCTTTGAAGCTGGTTCCACTTCACAAGAAGAGACTGGAGGTCTAAGAGGGAGAAGCTGACCAAAAACACCTAGCAAATGGCAGATCAGGGTCTCACCCGTGAGCCTTAGATCTTTCCCAAAGCCTCTTGACAGAAAGAAGGCGAAACCAGGTGACAATGTTGGGTCAGGCAAGTACAGAAGTAACACTGAGCTAAAAACAGGTCTTCACGAGGGACTGTCTCCCACACTTCCCTACTGAAGGGCCTGCTATTCTGTTAAGTCATCCATGGAGGTCTTGAGTGTAGAAGATCCAGTCAGCGATATCTAGATTCCTGGCAAGGAGTGAGACCTACGGCAAGGGCAGGCTGCAGCAAGCTTCCACAGAGCCTCAGTCCCTCGGCCTGCTGTGGGTAGACACTCTGCATGGTTAGCACAGGACAGTGGACCTCTCAAGCCTGGCCACTTGCTGATGTCTCCGCCAACTACATAAATGACAGTTCTCACTACGGAAGATAGAGCTATGCCATGTGTTTTATGTGTGCTGTGGATATTCAACAGTCATGGAAACTTCAGTAGAGATTGTAAAATGAGGCGATAAAGGAGCAGAATGGCTATGAGCTAAGCGGGGACAAGGGCCTGTTGCCAGGCTCTGGATGCAGGGCCACAACCCTGTTTTATCTATGAAACAGAAACAAAAGTTCAGGTGTCTCTAGCATAAGAGGGACCCACGCTGACTGAAGTGTTGGTTCTGAGGTGCCCTTAGAGAAGAGTGTATGGAGACTTGAGCTACACACCTGCCCTTTTCCCAGGAAGAGGCAAGCTTCACACTCCAGAGCTTGGCATGCCAGGATGCCACCACAAAGTCTGGACCAAAAGAAGGCTATGCAGACATGCAGCACACTGCCTGTGGGGTCCTTAAAGGGAGTGGCGCCATTAGGAGGTGTGGCCTTGCTAGAGGCAGTGTGTCACTGTGGGGCAGGCCTTGAGGTCTCTCTTCCTAAAGCTTCCCTCAGTGTGACAATTAGATAACTGCCTGCAAGATGCAGCACTCTCGGCTCTAGCGCATGACTGCTTGGATGCCATGCTCCCCTCCATGATGACAATGGACTGAACCTCTGAAACTGTAGTGAGCCACCCACAATTCAATGTTTCCTTTGTAAGAGTTGCTGTGGTCACAGTGGCTCTTCAGAGCAACAGAAACCCTAAGACACGGCCCCAGATGGAAGTTGCAGACAGGATTCTAATCCTACCCAGTTTGCTAACAAGGCAACATCCTGCACTGAGCTATGGCAAGTTTTCCTCCTACAGATGCATGTGCCCCAAAGAGTGTAAAGAGTACTGTTTTTTCCTCCCGCCGATCGTTGGCCTGGTCCCACCGCCACGCCAGCCCCAATTAACACACTGAGACTCTGTATTTGATATAATTCTGTTGGCCAGTTACTAGTTTCTTATCGGCTAGCTCTGTCTTAATTATTAACCCATTTCTATGTATTTCCACGTGGTCTTACCAGCGAGAGGCAGCTGGTGGTTCTAGTCTCTCCAGACTCTCCATGTTGACCCCTCCTTCCTCCTTCCTATTTCCTCCTTGTCTCCTCGTCCCTCCTATCTTCCTTTCCTATTGGCCAACAGTGCTTTATTCATTACCAGTATGAGAAACATATACAGAATGACATCTCCCATCAAAAGAGTCACTCCATAACTCCTACTTTTACAAGATGATAACCCGGAGGCCCAGAAAGGACCAGTAAGGCAGGACAGAAGCTGAATTGAAACCAGGTTGAGACCAAGTCCACATGGGGGCTAGAAGATCAATACCGAAGGTCTGGAGCTGCTGGAGGTAACTGGGCCCTACACAGGGGCTGTCCCTATACCCTCCTCAGCACTGCTCTGTAGTGACAGAGAGGACAGGACCACAATCCCTCCCATCCTCCCAGCTGGTGAGTAGAGGAACTTGTCCCACAGCCCTATACCTCCCTCAGGGGGACTCTCATGCTTCCTGTTACCTGCCCCGTGCTAGCCTTTTCTTCAAATGAGACTATTATCAGGCTATCATCATCTGCAAAGAAACATAAAGCTATACAGGCAGTGTTTTTAGGAGGAGGGGCACAGGACATGGCTGACCTCCTATTTTGCTTTAAGCCACGGTGCCTGGCGGTAGGAGGCTTCCCAGTGTCTCACTCCTCTCACTTAGCCTCAGATGCTCTGAATAGGTTAAGTGGTCCTTCTGAGGCCTTGAGCTTCTATCAGCCTTGGGACATACAGTTTCTCTGGGTGGCACAGGACTGTCCCTGGAGAATCAAGAATGTACTCTATGTGAACCTGAGTCTCCAAGGGTCTCGAACCTGCTTTACCCAGTGTGAACAAGAGCCTGAAAGATGGAGCTTTGTTTAAGAAGTCACTCTCCACATGTTGGACAACAGGGCACTCATTGTTAACATACATGATTTTTAGATGGAAGTACTGCCTCTTTCCCGTTGGTAATTATATACACTAAATCCATCACAGACCCTGGAGGAAAAGAAGTAGGTGCCACCTGTCTGCTCATTCCTTTGGGCTGAGATAGGATTCGGGGTCAAAAACTAGAATGCCACTCTACCTGGTTTTAAAACCTATAAAATAGCCCCAGACCACATATATCTGTCTCCCATTCCCTTCCAGAGAATTCCAGAGGGGTCACTAGCCAAATACATCCTGATTCTTCCCTAGGTTATCATACCTCTATGCCTAGCTCAGCACAGCACGACTCATATAGTGGTGCTCAAATATGCTGCCTGAGAGCTGGCTGTCCCCCAAAGGCCTAGGTCAGAAGGCAGAATGCACATCCTGCAGAAAGGAAATAATGATCACAGCCACTCTTGCCCTGTCTCACAAGGTGTCACCTCCTGGCAACCCATTTTGTCAAACAGGAGTAAGAGGTGAGTCAGGAGACTACAGTGTCTCCCAGTACCACGTTTAAAGTCACTCCCTCTTGTGCATTACCATGCCCGGGCAGTATAGTCTCAACAGTCGGGGAATGAGTAATTACAGAGGAACAAAGGGTCTGTCCTCTCTAGTCCGAAGCCTTGGGATCTGTGGTGGTTGGAAAGAGAAAGGTGCCTGCCCATAGGCTCATGTTTGAATGCTTGGTTCCCAGTCAGTGGAACTGTTTGGAAGGGTTAGGAGGTGTATGGCCTTGTTGGAGTGGTATGTCACACTTTGTTGAGAGGGTGTGTCATAGGGTGGGTATAGGGGTTTCAAATGCACACATCAGGCTCAAGTCTCTCTGCCTGCGGCTTGTATATCAGATGTAAGCTCGCAGCTACTGCTCCAGCATCATGCTTGCTGCCCACCTCTAGACTTACTACCATGATACCATGGCCTAACCCTCTGAAACTGTAAGCAAGCCCCCAAGTAAATGCCTTCCTTTAGAAGTTGCCTTGGTCATGATGTTTCTTCACAGTAACAGAACAATAACTAAGACAGGGTCCAACACTACTCTGCTACGTCTTAGAAGACCCTGATGCCCACTCCTCGATTGTCCATGTCCCAATACTAAATCATCTCTAAGCCTTCTTGTCTCATGGTAAATTGGTATGGGGATTCCAGGCTGCTCAAGAGAGTTTGTTTTGGGGATTTAATATTACACCCTACCCAGAATGTTCTGGATGATATGAACAAAGCACCTTAGGCCCTCTACATTGATGTTGCATGACAAGTGGTCAAGGGATCAGACTCTGGGACCCTGCCTCTTCATATGAGTGCTAGACTTATATGGTGTGACGCTCAGGAGCCAAGAAAAAAAGCCTTGGAATAGTCTGTAATCATGTTGATAACATCATTCTGACTAGAGTCTCATTTTTACTCTAGTTCTGCAAGGTTTCTGTTGTTTAAGGTTCTCATGTAGCTCAGGCTAGCCTCAAGCTCACTGTGGAGTTGGGGATGACCTTGAACTCTGATTCTCCTCCCAAGTCCTAGGGTCACATCCAGCCAACTTGATGGAGTTTCTTTTCCACCTGGTCCTTAGTCCCAAATAAATGCACAGAGGCTTATATTAATTATAAACAGCTTGGCCAATGACTCAGCCTTCTTATTGGCTAGTTCTCTCTTAATTATTAACCCATACCGATTAATCTATGTATCTCCATGTGGTTTTACCTTATCAGAGAATCCCTGTAGCTAGCTCAGTTGGTAGGTGCATGAGACTCTTAATCTCAGAGCCATGGGTTCGTGCCCCACGCTAGGTGCCAGGTACTCTACCAACTGACCTACATGTCCAGGCCCTGTCTTTTTGTGATGCCGGAGATAAAAATCAAGGACCGAATGCATGCTAGGCCAACAGCTCTGCCACTGAGCTACATACGCCCTCTACCCTCACACAACCTCACTATTAGTCCTAATAAGCTGTTAATGACTTTGACAGGAAAAGAAAATGAGCCTAATCAAATCTAAACAACTAAAGTCCTAAACATTGGCTTTAAGTTCTGTTTGTTTTGTTTCCCAAGCTGGCCTGGAATTTGTCAGGTACTCAGATAGGGTCTCATGATGTGGCACTGACTGGTCAGGAACTCACAGAGCTCCAGCTGCCTTTGCCTCCTATTCTGAGTGCTGGGATTAAAGGTGTTAACCAACATACCCAGCAGTTTTAAATTCTTAAAGTTAGAAAACATCGGTTTCTTCTTGGAGGTTTCCAAGGCCCAGGAATCACACTGCACATCGAGTATTTCAGTACCCTATACGGTGGACACTGATTTTTGTCTCAGAGATGTGATTCTTGAACATATCAGAGTCCCCACAGGGAAACCAAGATCTCACCGTGCCACCACCTCTGTCAATTCCTCACCAGCAGTGACTACCACACGGCTTGGACCAAGGGGACAGAGACCCACCTCTGACTCTGAGAGAAGAGGCTGTACTTTCAAAGCTCGCCCTCTGCCCTGTCCAAGGGCAGCCCTGTGGTCAGCTCAAGATGACAGGAAGGGGGATCGTGAACTTGGGGAGACTTTGGGAAGACAAAAACAAAAATCACCCAAGTCATGACTGCTGGGGCCCTTCCTCCCTTGAGGATTTAGCTAGAATCTTTCAACACCACTGACAAAAGCAGCAGGTTGGTTTGCTGTGGGATTCAGGGAAGGAGTGAATGGTTTGGGGGCCTCTTAGGCCCCCAAGCAGCCGGGACAGGAGGACACTGGAAACCCGAGGAGGGAACCCAAAGAATCCCAGTCACCTATAATAAAGAGGAAGAGACAAAGTGAGACTTCAGAGGAGGGCAGAAAATTCTAGAGAACAAAACCCTCCCAATTCCACTACGCACAGCTGCTCACTGACTTCCCGGGAATTCCCTAAGGAAGGTGGAATAACCCTGCCACAATTCAAATACTCAGAGAAGAAGAAAGGTTCTAGAGCAGGAACAGCCTGGGAGACCCCTGTGTGGTGTGTCTAAGAGGCTAACTATTCAGTTGTAGATACACACAGCGTACTATAAAAAAAGGACCGTCCGGGTTTGTAAATTAACTTTTCTCCATCACAGAGCCCACTGGTCAAAAGCAACACGGAGCAGAACAGGGGGTGATAAAACCAGTCCCAGATCACGGTGGTCTGGTCTGTTACTGTTACCAAGAAGATGGATAGAGACCCTCATTTGGCAGGTGGTGAGGGGTCCAGAGAAGTCAAAGTAAGTAACCCAAGGACATCCTGGCCACTCATGCACGTTCCACCAGAGTCACAAGGTGGTCCTGGATCCCTCTTAAGTCTATTCCACTTGGGGTGGGAAGTGGCTTTGGATTTTTGGAGATCCTATTTCACAGCTTGTGACACTAGACCCTCTACCTTCCAAAGTCCTCAAGCTACATGCTGGGACACTTACCCTGGAGGACTCTGCCACCCAGATGGCTCCCTGGCTGTGTCCTGTGCCCAGGTTCTCTGGGGTTATCAGGTCTAGCCACTGTCTGCCCAGAGCCTATTCCCACCCAGCAGCCCACAGGCAGGGAGGGGGGCTGGGGACCTAAATGTGCCCTTCCTCTCAACTGAGAGCCAGAAATGTGGGAGACTGACAGACTGTGGAGAAAGGAAAGAAGGCGGGAGCACACACAGATGGCAGGGGGGACAGATGGACAGGCAGACAGGCAGCTGCTTACCTGTGGGCCAGGCCCCATGGGCCCCATGCCTCTGGGAGGGTTCATTCTCTGCATTGATCCTCCCATGTTGGGGTGACCTGTGTAAGAAAATGGATGAGCCACGGGCTGTAAGGAGTAGAGCAAACAGGAGCCCTCCCAATGCCCTAGGCCAACACCCTACCTTGTTGTCGTGTGGGATCCATAGAATTGGGCAGCAATGGCTGTGTCCCAGGAACTCCTCCTGGAGGCTGAGAGAGACATGAGACATAGTCTGAGTCACTGCTTCTAGAACTGAGGGGGGGGGGTAGAAGAAGACACATCTCCCTGCCCTACCCTGCTCCCCAACCGGCCTCCTGGAGCCATCTCTGCAAGATGGGTAGCGCCCCCCCCCAAAAAAAAAGCTCTGGAAAGCAGGGCAGACAGCTCTTGCAAGCATCAGTCAAAACTGTAGCATCAGGAAGCTAGGCTCTCTATCTGAACCTGCACATCTGCAGTCCGGAAATGAGGCATGCTATGGCTTCACTCCACCCTCACACAAGGGGCAGCACATTTTGCTTCAGAGATGTAACTCATCTTAAGTATATCCCCAAATACCAAGGCCTCAGAGGGAGCCACTGGTTAAAAACCATCACCACAAGGAGGCCTTTACATGTGAGCCAAGCAGCCTTCGAGACGCAGGTTGGGTTAACTGGGGTCCAGGGCTCTAAGAGCTTGAGCCTGAGTCAGCAGAGCCACCCAGGCCTCCCAGCTTCCATCTGCTCCCACTCCAGAGGCAGCAAAGAAGCTACTGGTAGAGAACAGGTTGCTTAATGATGGCCTGTTCTTTAGGAAGTAGGTGCTAGTGTGACAGCCTTCAGTATGGGATAGGGTGCTATGAAAACAGACTAAAAGTCATTGCTTTGGGATGAAGTTATTCTAGCTATAATTTGAAAAAACAAGAGAGCAGCAGAGGGTAGGCCAAGTGTCCCGTGGGACCTTTGGGCCAAAGAGGAACTCTTGGCTTCCGGAAGAAAAGCCTTGGCGATAGAGGGCCACAGCTCCTGGTTGAAGGAGCCAGTGCTTGTGGGGGCCGGGGACCTTCACAGGGTCCCCAGCCCTGACTGCTACAAAATGCTAGCAGCAAATGCTAACCAGGCTCAACAAGGAGGTGAGAGTTGAAGGGACAGACCCCACCCCACCCCTGCTTTTCCAGCTTCAGAACAGGAACACGAGGCTAGGGGGCTTTCTGAGGCCACTCAGTTCCTCTGCCTAGCCTGGGCCCCTGCATCCTAAATTTAACTGACCTCTTCTTCCCCCTCAAGCTCCTGAACAGTGACTCACCTGTCCGGTTTGCGTCTGCCTATCTGGACTGGTGGCTTTTAGTGGCGAGGGGGGATCCCCAATACAAGTACACTCCACCTAGCTTGTCCAGATAGCTATAACAATGGCTGCTCTTGTACTGCACTCCTCCATAGCTTCTAAACCTGCTACATACCAGGGATTTTAGCTGGGGGTGTGGGGAAAGGGGTCTGGGAACTACTATTTTCAGTGGGGTATCTCAAACAGGGGTAGGATCATCTGGGCTTTGCTGTAGGGGTGGGGGAATATGTATGTGATTGATGGCCAAGGAAAACTGCCTTCACAGCTGAGAAGGAAACATAGCCTTGTAGGTACGGGTCATAATCTTGCTGTTGTAACCCCCAGTGGCCCACAGGGGGACAGAAATGCCCTTGGAGGTAAGCCTGCCTTGGAAAAGTCACTCCTCCCTCCCTCCTCCTGCTTCCTCATCTGCAACATATCCAAGATGCCTGTGTTGCTCAAAAACCCGGTTTCTCAATCCCTTTTGTCTAAATTTGCCCCCTTTGTGTTGGAGAAAACAGGAAACTAAGGACTCTGGGAGAGGAAAACGGCCAAGTGGAAATATGCTGGGCAGTGTCATACCAAAGAGGTTCCTCCACAGTCCCCATATCATGTCACCTGGGCTTTCTTCCAGTGCCCCAGAGAGAGTGCCAATATAGGTGACTAAACTCCAGCTCCTGGTGTGCTGGGGCTGTGGTCAGATTTTAAGACTTTTTGCTAAGTCATGGGAAGAACTCTGGCTAAAAATATTTTGGCACAAAGACAAATCTCCCCGATGCCTTCATCAGGTTGTATTTGTCTGTCCACTTCAGTATAGACATCTGTTCTTCTTTAGCTGTCCACCCTGAAGTGCTGGACCAAGGAAGGCCAGCTCACCTCAAACTGTCAACCCTGAAGGACCACAAGAAGGGATGGGATGCAACCCTTGGCTGAAAAGCTCCCCTAATAAGCAGGGTACGTTTCTAATTTTATGAGCAAATCCTTCCTTGTTTCAGGGAAGCAGGCTGAAGATCCCACAAACACCCGACTCCTCTGAAGCCAGGCCCAGGCCCCTGATCTAAGTAAGCATCCTACAGAACATGTGCCCTCTAATAGTAGGGTTATGTTTACCAGCCTTGGCAAGTCTCAAAATCTCGGGGGGGGGGGGGAGGTAAGGGGAGGGTGTTGGAAGGGAGGAGAGTTAGGAAGACCCAAGTCCCTTTAATCCCACCAGCTCTGCTCCCTGACTACAAGTTCCCTGTGACAGGCAGGCTAAATGCTGGACCATGGCAAGTTCAGAACAGACCCTTGGACAAGTTTAACCCACCACCTGAGAACCTTAGCCTTGCACTTCACTTTTGATATGAGCCCAGATCTACTAGGCCTAAGGACAGCCGAGGGAGAAGAGAAAACAAGAAAAAGTACTGTACCTGGTTTCCCATTCTGATCGGGGGCCTGGGGCCGCCTGCATATCGCGGTGACATAAAAGGCTGCAATTATAGGGAATTAGTTCAATGACAGCCTGAACTACTCAACAGTGACAAGCACAAACACTTTGCACTCTGCAAAGTCCAGTTTATTACAACTAGTTCTCTTTTAAGCTCTCTCTAGTCCGGTAGCCTCTTCCTTCCGGGCAAAACTTCCCTTGGGCAGAGGAACAAAAGATCCACACAACACAACACATGTCTCCCAACCTGCACTGGCTTGCAGGAATCTACTTTGGGCGGAGGGGCAGCAGCTGGGGCTTCACGAAGGACGCGGAATGGCTAAATCAATGCAGGGCAAAGGAGGCCACCTCTGCGCTCCATGAGGGCAAAGAAATCAAGAAAAAGGAGGGAGACATCCCATCTTCAGGTCCGCAGACAGGAGCAGGACACACGCGCACAGGCACACATGGGCACACACAGAGGAAACCATCACAGGGGGGAGTTGGGAAGGGAGCAAGGCCTTATGGGAAAACATGATGGAAAAAACAAAAAAACGCAGTAAGGGACAGCGGGCTCCCTAACTGATGCAGGGAAATGGGTGAGAAAGCTTTCTCAGCAGCGAGAGCGCACAGAGAAAAGGCCAGGGATGCAGCCTTGGTTACAAACAAATGGTTGACCAAACTCAAAAATCAAACAAAAGTGAGAGAGGAAAAAACAAAAACATAAAGGCCACTGACAAGGTCACAGAAATAGTTTTGTTTCTTTTCTCTTGGTTTCATATCCAAACTGGTGGGACGTCCAAGAAATGAAGACTGTCTTTAGAAAAAATATATATATCTATATATTTAAGTTAAACTTGTCAATTATGATTGGAAGGCAATGCTGGAGCACGTTTTGATTTTTGTTTTTCCTCTGCGGCTCTCTCCTTCCTCCTGCCCCGCGCCCCCCGGCTGGTGGGCCGGTGAGCCACAGTGCGTTTACCTGACTGTGGGGTCCCATCATGCTGCTGGGATTGTGAGGTGGAGGCTGTGCGTGCGGCGAGGGCTGTGACCCCGGAGGACCCTGTGAGGCCAGACAGTAGAGGCAGGTTATAGATCACAGCACATGGAGAAGCGCAGAAGCTTAAAAGAACAAAAATTAAACCAAAACGCAGAGTGGCGGCGGGCGTGCGGGTGGTGGGCTGTGGCTGGCAGGAGGTGGCGGAGCGCTGCTTGGGTCCTGGTTCAATGGCGAACAACGGCGGGCAGGCAGGAAGGAGGGAGGCTGACCAATACATTCACAGGGGATTATGAAAAAATAAAACAAAGCACCTTCATCAAAGCACACAGGAGTGAGGGCCGGACACAGGCTACCGCTGAACAGAGTTTGCCATGTTAAATACGCTGGTTGACTCAGACAATGATATATAGACAGGGCCCCTGGACCTAGACAGAAAGCTTGGAAGTACCACTTTCAGAAGACACAGAAGGAATAGGGTGAAGTCCCTGCCCTCGAGGAGCTCACAGTCTGAGAAACAGAGAACAGGTCATTTGGGACCGTATTCATCAAGGGAGTGGACAGACGCAGAGAAGCAGGTAGCACTAGATTCTAAGCCACTGTGGGACACAGATAGTTGCCAAGTGTCTATCCTGTGAGTGCTAGGGCTCTGTGGTTCACGATTTCACCTATAGCTCAGAATAGCTCTATATGGTAGTGTCTTCTTCTTTCAAATTTTACAAACAAGGAAAACGGGTCCCAAGAAATGAGGAGGAGAGCGGGTCACAGCCACACAGCCTCTAAGTGACAGAGTCAGGCTGAGAGTCAAGTGGCACAGGCAGGATTATTGCTTCTCGGTGGTTCAGGGAGAGAGGGCCAACTTTCCATACTGGGTGATGGTGAGCCACTTACAGTTCCAAGCTGACCCAAAGCTCTGCTCACCTTCACTCCCTACCAAATAGGAGGAGGTGAATTAATTCACTTAGCCCACAGAGTTGGTCAAACCTTCGGGTCGTGGTAAGTACAAAAGGAACAAAGAAAAAGAAAGTATCAGGAAGCCTCACATGCCGGAAGGAAAGTATCTCTGTAGAACTAGTGTGTTTGAGAAAGAGTGTACGTGTGCATGTGTGTGCATGTGTTCACACACATGTGCAGAAGGCAGTGCCACAGAAGTTTCCTATTGTGGGTCATAGACAGTCTGCCTTTGGCGCCCCTTCTGGCCAACAGGCCACTGGAACCTGGACTCAGGGTAGGGCATGAGTCACACACCCCACAGCCCTTTTCCCCACCATAGTGTTGGAAGTGATTTTGGAGGAACACTCCAGACATTCATGAAGGGTAAGGAAAGCTACTTTTTTCAAAGGAAAAGCTACAAGTTAGCTACAGTGATTGGTTCCTTCCTTAGGTCTCAAAACAAGACAGCCACACTCTGCTCACGGAGGGAGGGACGCTGGGTGGTTGGGAAGGAGGTGGGGGTAGAGGTGAGGTAGACACAACACAGAGGTACAAAACAAGAGGTGACGGCTGAGGGTGCCCCGGGGACGGCCTAGCTGGAGTTTCTTGGCTAAGTGAGGGGCTGTTCACTTCCGGAAAGCTTGGAGGAGCAGATGTTCCCCTACCTGCCACGCTAATTTCAACAAGTGTGTGTCTTTCGAGCGGCTGCCAGCAACGGCATGGTTTGTTACCATGAGCAATTTTCTTAATTAACAGACATTAATTAGCCATTTAGCAATTTTGCAAGCATTTGTTTAGCGGCTTTCCTAAACATGAATACCACTGTGATAATGGCACTGATTAGAGGGTCCCCTAATTAACAGTACAGGGAAGGAAAATTGAAATCACATAAATTAAAAAGGGAGGGGAAGTTAATGAAGGCGGGACATATTTGCACCTGCAAGTCTTTTGTACCATAAAACTTGGGTGTAATGTAAACACAACAAGATAATTTGAAGCCAACCCCCCCCCCCCCAAAAAAAAAAAAAAGAAAATGAAAAAGGTCGGTGGGAGAGAGCTCAAGGGTAAGGTCCAGCTGCCAAGAGGGGGCAAAAGCTTGTCTGCTACTGCCCCGGCTCTTGGCAGCAGGGAATGCCTCCTCCCTAACAGTCCTGACTCCCTCCCTGGTTACATGACTGCATTTGCAGAGCAAGCACACTGTTTCGGGCCAGCCCCTCACACCTGTGTGCCCCCACTGGGCAGGAGTAGTTCCCAGTGGCTACCTCTCTTGAGTGGAGAAAACAGCTCGAAGCACCCACAGGTGCTCACCCTGGGGCCTCACATGATGGCTGTCTTGAGGGTCAGTGCTCTACAGCAAGTCTGAGGCCTGGCTAGTGGCAGCAGGCGGCTAGATCTTCCCAAGAGGTACCGTGGGGTGCAGGAGGCAAGGCTGGCTCTGACCAAGGGGAGATAGCAAGTTTGTCACCAAGACAGATGCCCCACTGAATAGGGCTGTTAGCGAGGCCCTGGCATACGGGGACAAGAAGGGAATGGGCTGCTGAACCTGGGGATTGGCAGCTCCCATGCCTTCTTATAAACGTGAAGGGGAATGTGTGTGTGGGGTGTCTGAGAATCCTGGCCTAGGCTAACAGCGATCACCCAGAGAGAAAACCCCATGGCAACCTCAATTCAGATGACCATGACAAAGTCATCTCCCTGGGGGAATACATCACACCCCTGACCCATCAGCCACTGACCTGCAGCTTTACAAACTTCCAGATACAGCCCCTGGCCTTTTCCCTGGAGCCTGCTGTATGGGCCGGAAGCAAAAAGCTATCCACGTGCCAGTGGGTCACTCGTGTCCTCTGGAGCCCTAGCTACCATCTGTCCTCAGCTTGGACAATTTTTACTATGCTGTGCGACTGGGCTCTATCCTTCACACTGCAGCATCCCAGAAGGAACCCCATATAGCCTCACATCCCTGGGAACAAAGAATGGCATTGTGTTCAGAGAAAAATCTCTGCTGCTGTAAAGAAAACGACAGGTGCACTGCAGCCTCCACAAGGAGGTGAGGGCTCTGCTGCCACTCATTTCATTAGGCCACAAACCAGAGGCTGATGGCCGGTTTAGAGAAAGGGGACTCAATGGTCTTTTCAATTTGTTCTGCATGGGCAAAACACTACAAGGGAAGTAGGACAAAACAAACAAGCAAAGTCTTTGCTGGAGGCTTCTGACCTTTGCTGAGATGGGAGGCAGCTCTCCCAAACATCCCCAGACACTGAGCAAGTGAGCTGGGTGGAATGCGAGGAGGGTGTCCCGGTGACCATTGTCCCTGGCAGGACAAGTGTCCCATGGGCCTTCCTGGAGCTTGGCTGCAGGAGGCTTTTTGAAGAACCTAAAATAGCTTTGTCTAGAATCCTAGCTGGCCAAGGCCCATTCCCCCAAAGGGTGCTGGGGGTTTTCTGCCACAAGAGCAACACATTAGGGTGGATCAGGATGGCTGAGCACAGCTCCAGTAATCACTTGCTTATAGCTTATATATAGATGGCCCTGCACTGACATACTGCCATCCCTTTCCCTGATGTCCTTCATTTACAGGGAAGGAGAGTTCAGGCTAGGGATGGGACTCATCCAAGACTACCAGGAACTACCTATTTCCTGAGCTAAGCTTCCAAACTCAGTAGCCAGGGTTCTCTTTATGGAATACTACATCACCACCTACACCTGTTTTTAAAGAAACAAGGGGTGTGGGGGAGAGACTGGGTCTAAAATCTAGCCATGTCACTGACTGCTCTTGTCGTCTCACTGATAACACAGGGGAGAGTGGGCTTTTGCCTGCACCAGCTCACTTAATCCTACACTCTGCAATGTAAGGACCACCAACCATCCGCTCGCTAGCTCGCTCTCTCTCGTTTTTTGAGACAGTGTTTCTCTGTATTACTTTGGAGCCTGTCCTAGAACTTGCTCTGTAGACCAGACTGGTCTTGAACTCAGAGAGATCCACCTGCCCCGGTGGCCATGCTGTTTGATAGCCGGGGAACAAGGCTCAGAAAGGGGACTGTACTCACTAGCATTGTAGTTACTAAGTGGGGGAGGCAGGCAGGTTTCAGAGCCTGATTCTGGGCTGTAGGGATCTGGAGGAGCCCACCACCCTGCAAGCCTGTGAGCAGAATATTGTGTTCAGGAGAGCTCCTGACCCAGTTGGGAAAAGAAGAACCCAAAGTCAGAAAAGGCCTAGAGCTGGAAAAACTCCCAGGGCTCTATAGAGTGATGCCTTGCTCCCTCTTGCTGCCTAGAGATCTAAACTGAGGCCCAGAGTGGCTACAGAATATAGATCTGCTCTATGAGGCCCTGGGAGCTGGGAAGGGAACTATAGTCCTGCAGTAAATCAGGCATATCTACTGCCCTCACTGTCTGTGGAGTGGTGACAAGAGATCTGAGGTGAGGGGAACCAAATAAAGGGCAATTCCTGCTACAGGGTTTTGGAAAAGGTAGAAATACAGTCATGGCCTGTGTGGCCTTCATACAGCCCCAACCCTGCTAAAGGATTTGCCCTTCCCTCACAGCTGGCTCTAGATCGCGGCCTTCAGACACCTGAATCCCCCTCACCTCCTTTTCATTCTTTTCCCTGTAATTTCAGCATTAAGTAGTGTTATAACCAGCAGGTCGTGAGAGCCACTTAGGCAAGGCCTTGGAGGCTCTGTTACAGGTGTGAACCAGGCAAGTGTTCGGCCATTTCACAGAACCTTACGGTCTGGATGCTGATGGTGTAGTGAAGAGGCCTTTATGAACATCAGCATGGTAGGGAGCAGCACCCCTACAGCTCCAAGATCGGAGGTCTTTACAGAAAAGCATCTCACAACTGCCAGCAGGAGCCCCTCCTTTTGAGAGATGCACTAGGGCACGATGGGAAAATCCTTGAAGTTATATGTGCCAAATCCAATTCCCTAACATCCCTGAGCCTCAGGCCTCCCAAAGAGGAACGGAACCATCCATACTGCAGCGGTGTGGCCCAGTTCACAACGGCACTCTTAGGTGTCCTTGTCTCTGGCAGGGAAAATGGTAATACGGCTGGCTGGTTCTGGCCTGGGTCAGGGTGTCCTGCCATGAATGTCCACAGCCTGAGGAAAGCCGTATAGCCTCCAACAATATCC